TTCCAGAAATTCAAGTTCTGCATTTTAGGCCAATGTTTTTACTTCTATTTTTAGAAGTACACATCACCGGGACGTCGTCGGTTACAGTAAAATAAGCTTCCGTCATCTGCAGGAAGCCGTACGCATGCGCATTTTGAAAAAAAAATCAACTGAATAAACAAAAACACTACTAAATGCCCATTGAGTGTATGGGACGTGAACAGACGTGTTTACACACGACAAGTGCATGGACCTTTTGATCATTCTCTTAATAAATAATCTTGATTTGCAATTTTGGGTCTATTTGCTGGCCTGCAAGCCTTTTGCTGTACCTCCGTGCTTCCTCACTTGCAGCCCAGTGTGCTCCCCTCTTCGTCAGTCCGGAACCAGACCAACAAAGGTTCCCGCCTTCGTTGGGAAACAACCGGTGGGACGGAGGTTGCTATAGTGTTGAGCAACGTCTCTTTCTTGGCCAATGTTGTCGCGAGTGTCTGACGCTAAATTTGGCGCGAAAAGGGCGAGTTGCCCGGCAACCGCAAGTCCGCAACCTGGGCCATCGCTAACCTTACTGCCAACCGTCTACATGCAGCCAAAATGCAGATGCAGTGACATTATTGGTATAAAATTAGGTCGTACCCGGGTTGGGAGTGCGGCGGGGGTGTACTCATCCCCCCCCCCCCCAAAAAAAAAAGAGAAGAAGAAAAAAAATATAGGAAGTGTACACTATTCCGTACCTAATTTTACTGCGCAAGATTTTGTGAACATGCAAATGATCAGGGCGAGAGAGCAGGTAGTGAGAGCGTACCGCTCAATGCCATGGGGACGAGGTTGCGTACACCATCCATAAGGTTTCACTTATTAACTTCGACGGTACGTTTTGCATGAAATGGTTGTCAAATGCGGATATATACGTGTTCATATCTGCTTACATTTTGAACAGCGGCCTCTAGAGTAAGTTAAGCCCCCAACTTTCCCAAGCTGTTGGTCAAGAAATCAACACGATGGTGTGTCCGAAAATAGGATGTGTATTGCTTGGCCGTGTCTTGAGCCTAAGCACCCTTCTCCGTTATATCCTCCCGGATCATTGATGCGTATTGCAAACAAATCCATCGTTAAAATGGTATTACCTCACATTCAACGGCTAAAAAATGATCCGAATAGAGACATAACAGCTTTGTAAACAGTCCATCAGTCTACAGGCCGTCCATAATGATTTCCATGTTAAGAAGTCCTAAGATAGTTCCTGTTATAGGAAGAATGTATATGTTATAGCATTGTTGAACTAGACTATGCGACAGTCACCGACATCATTGAGGGTTCTCCAAAGACAAGCAAATGAAACGTTGATCGAGACGAAAATAATGAACGGTAAATCACGCCACATGGAATTTTGTCCAATCATGTAGAATAATAATTATTGTCTATACTGAAAGTCGTGAGTCTATGTATCATGTACATGTACTTGCAAAACAACATGGTATTGAAGTTCTACTTAAAGCCGAATCGAAGCACATGTCACCACTGCACACTCACCGGGGCCCCCTTCAATGTTGAAATGATTATTCTGGACAATAGCTAGCACAATGCTTTCGCCGTCATTGAAGGGGGCCTCCGTGATAGAATTGATAGCGTGCCCGGATTGATTGATTACAGCCATGCAAAAAGCGTGGCACGGTTTAAAAAGAAGACCAAACACACTTACTGAACACCCTACTATTACAAGTCTTTCGCAGTACCCATTCCCCATGATCCATTACGACGACATTATTAAAGGGTTAAGGCGATTTGTGACGAATATAAAATGACGTTTGCAGAAAACATTTATACCAAACTTATTCTTGTTGGTATATCTTGTTGGCAGTCCTACTATCGTGAGCTGCACCTCGGGCCGGATTTTGGGATGTGGATTTGGGATGAAAAGGGAAAAAAGGCCGGAAAATTGTCTTAAGTGTTATGAAAATGTGTCAAGAGACGTAGATGTCACACGCGATTTTAATTAAAGGGAGACAGTTTGACTATGGCCTGAAACGATTCTTTTCAAATTAAGAGCCAGTGCGTCAATGGTGGGCCTGCACTCTTGTGATTTTGATGATGAATTGGTTGTATATGTACGTGGATCGCTGGCAAGTTCGTTTAAATGTATTTGTTCTTACGTAATACCTTTAGCAGTAACCAACGGTAGCCAGAGATTTGTTTCAATATCATGGAGCTTGTATAGGCGCAAAGACATGCCTTCACTTTAGTGGGCCGATTTCAAACGTGTCTGCAGCGCGTATCTCAGTTCGTGATGAGCAACATGAATGACATCCTTTGGTTGGATGTGTCTCTGCACTCTGCGTGATACGATGGCGTATTATACTATACTCTTCATTTCTTCCCAGGCCCTCCAAATTCCCGCCGACAGCCCGGGCTCAAGTGGCGCGAAAACGGAGTTTTTCTCAAACTCGAAAGTAATATAACCCTAATTGGAAACAAAATAGAAAGCAATTTTGATTGACAAACAAAATCTCATAATCCTAAAGTGCGAATGCTTCCCCTAAAGAATCTTCGGAGCTCATTTCGCGATCGTCACATTCTCGTCCGGACTTGTCTTAATAACTGTGAAATAAAGTCTGAAGGAAAACATCCAAATAGCTAAATGAACCCCCACCCTCCCTCCTCCTCCGTGAATACAAAGGTGTGAAAATAGGTCACCTTTTTCAATTACAATTGGTTCTTAATCTGGTGTTATTAAACTCCGAGATAGCATCGGCAGGGGAGAGCGGCGCTGTACGGGTGAATCTAACGGGTTGCCCGGAGCGTCCTTCCCCGTTGATATTAATTTCGCTACCCGGCCGCCCGAGTCTTGATTCGCCGTGGCAAGATCGGGCCAGCGTTGGAATGTTCCATGGGCGTATTTTCCTTGCTTTTATTCCCCACTCTGCCAATGTAAACTCGCGATGTGTCGGTGGTGGGATGTCCCTTTAGGGTTGCGCAAGGGGTGCTGATTATTTTCACCTTTTCTTTTTCATTTACGTGACAGTTTTATTAAGAAAATACTTTGAACCTTTAATCGTTGGGTATATATCTAAGGGCATATCTAAAAAATTATCACAACAAATTCAGTTCTCTATAACAATTCAGGATTAGCATTTCAAGTCATGAGCGGGCGGCAATTATTGTTTTTTTTTCTGCAACCAAGTATAGTTAATGACCACAATGGGCATTCGTCAATTGGGAACGAATGGTTCTCCGTTCTCGGACTTGGCATCCCTTTAAAAATCCTACAGAGTCACGAATCAGGGGGAAAGAGTGAAATTTATATCATCGATCAGTATACGTCTTGATTAAACATAATTTAAGAAAGAAAATTCACTCACGTGACATGTTTCACGCATGCGTATTATGGTGAATGACTTTAGCAGTCTGTAGAAGACTTTATGTTACAAGAATAGCCCCCTCTGACGGTGATTGTGCACCAGGGATCAGGTGTTAGCCGAAGTGAGGGTAAGAACGCACAACTCCGATCTTGGCTTTGACGGTGGCAGATTAAAGGATTTAAGGGGTTTCATATACTTTAGTTTGACAGAAGGGGTGATGGGCCATCCAAACCACGCCTCTGAAACCGCCATTCAACAATTCCTGTATTGCATCTGAAAGGCTAAGATATTATAAATTCTTGAATATTACAAACGTGATCATCTCTAAACCTTCGATTTTCATACTTTTGAAAAATAAAAATAAATCTATGGCACACATTTGAGGTCCGGGCATTCAACTGCTTGTAAAAGTTGAATGCGTTGCAAGTCACAACACTTTTTTTCAAATTAGAATTGATCAATGAGAAACAACAACCACCAAACACGCTACTCAAAGAAGGTACCAAACTGAGACGAAATAATTCTGTTGTTATTCTATTAATGATCATTTCGAGTTAGAACTAGTGCGTCTTCTTGTACATCCAGTCTTTCCGATTGACTCAACGCCAAACGATACGTCCGCATCAGTAACATCATCTGTTTGAAAGTGCAAGTGCATATGAAACAGACATTTGTTTTGTCCGGCAGATGAAATAACATCAAGACAGAGCAAACCCAGCCGCATTCCGGTTCGTCTAAAAGCGATTCCTCGTTGCAATAATAACCAAACTGAGGGAGACTTAAATTGTATCCAAAATATCACTTACATTTCTGGTACGAAGCGGTATTCATACGCGAGGCCTATCCTCTGTTCGATTAATTAACGTTGGTGTAACTTAGTAATTCCGCTGTGCAAATCTAGACTAACTGGCGACGCCATGATATGCAAATACAGCCCACACCAGGCCGTACTGCAAACACACACGCAGAACGCAATACCGTCTTGGCAAATACAAGCCGTTCAGTCAGTGGAAACGGGGACCTGTATGATAAAAAATAATATAGAAAATTGAACTATTATTAGCAGGTCAATTAAAGTGTAAAAAAGGGGACAGAATGGTTTCCGTGATAAAAGGAGAAAATTGCACTAATATGTGTTGAGTGCATCGAGGGTTAATTAAATCCTGGCAGATTGAAAACGGAAGTTGAAAGTTTGTTGATGAAAATGTAGGCCTGCATTATACCATTTAACATTCTTAATTTGGCGTTTCTCTTTTGTTGTGTGATAAACTCTTTGCCTGAAAATGGTATCCTCTGATTCAAAGGTTATTTTTTGGAGACACATCTTTTGTTTCTTACAAATTAAGAAGTTATTTTAACTGAAACTTTTTTTGGATGTGGTGAGGGGCGAAGGTCATTTGTGGGGAGGGGTGGGTGCGAGTCCAACGCGCCTGTCCCCGTATGTCCAACTTCAAAGTTCAAAGACAAGCATATGTTCTCTCCAGAGTCTAAAACTAGGCACCGGACAATTAGTTGAAATACTAAATATAACAGAACACTCCAGTCAATACAACTCGATCAATTCGATTTTTTGAATTTCTCTTTAATGGTCTTGTCCCTATAGTTTCAGTCCGATGAAATGAATTTGCACTCTAAATAAATAAAACATTCCGATCTGTACAGATAAGAGAGTAGCCTACATATGTCATTCCTTATTAAAGCGAGTTCACTTTTTTCATTTTGGCACAGTTGCAGGTTTTTCCTCCGTGACCCCGGACGAGGCTGAGGTGACCGGACAGCAGACGCCAGCCAGCCGGGATCCCCACAAGTCTCATCCCGCCAAAAGGGAGTCTCTTCTTACGGAAGCTGTCTGCAAAGACTTCTGCGACCGTTCCGAGGTTCAATTAGCTCTTGAGGTAAGGATTTAGAAACCAGGGAAACAAAAAAAGCGCGCCAGTTTTCATCCACATCGTTTCGGCTGAAGAAGCAAACATTGATATTAAAGAAGACATCATTAACCGCAGTGAAAGGCCTGCTTCCCCATTAGTCTTGAACACAGCTGCATCAGGGATTCTCGGAAGCTTAGGACCATCTGCATCAGTAGAACAACTGACAAATCCAGTCTCGGATCAAGACTAGTAGCCCCCTCTCTCCGCTTAGAGTTTGAAAAACCGCAAGAGCTTTCTATTTTCTGAAACTATCACTAAACTCAACGAGTGCCTCCTTCAGAAAATGATCTTCCATGCCCGTGCAAATTGGACCTTTTACCCTAGTTATGTCACCGGCATTGCATCAGATGCGGCTCGCAAAAGAAATGCACATCGGCAGTTATAGTGTGCCGCTTTGCCAATTAAAGCTTTGCACAAAAGTGGTGTCCTTATATGAAATAAAGTCTACTTGATGATGGGCAGAGCTTACTGTCCGAAACGCTCAGCTTTCACCGTTTTTTTCCAAAACAACACTCACTCTAAGTGACTTCCCCATGCAAACTTTCCAATCTTAATCTGAAAAGAAAGGCTTGGTAAAAGTTTTCTGAGGATCAGACGTTAACGTGCGCAGAGTCACAACGTCTGATATATCCAAGCATGCAAATTAAATGGGACCAGCGCGCCAGCCAATCGGAGTCGACTTGAGAAATCGTGTCGTCATTTCGAGCCGAAATTCGGCCTAAGTTGTTGATTGGTCAATATCGGCTGCCATGTTTTTGTAAAAATACAACTGGTTACCGAAGACCTGATAGAAGGCGCCCGCTGAATGGTCAGAATCTGGATGTCAAGACGCAGTCTTGTTTTGCATAATTAATCGCCGAATCTGCGCGAATTATCATGGACGCTTGTGTGCAAGCGGCTTTTCCAAATGCACGCTATTACCAAACGGTTCTATAATCGAGCAATAATCTCATACGATACTTGCAGCTGAAAAAAAAAATTGCACTTGTCAGAAGGCTTGGTATAAAGCCTAAGATAACGGGACAGTTACCCTTTCTCGCTTCTCGGCAAGGCGGTATCTTACGCAGTCTCAAACTTGTACACGGCATTGAAATCGGGAGCACGAACCACAAGATTTGACACGGGTTTGTGTGTTTTTGCTCAGGAGCCAAAGGCATACCGAAGCTGAGGTAGTCGTTGTTTACAATGAACCGCCATATACTTTTGAACTAAACAATTAAGGCTGCACGGTCAAAAGAAAAACACATTAATGTTGTCCTTTCTATACAACGTAATAACGTATGGGCAATTAAACAGTTCCTTAGTACTCATTGATATACACTACATCAGGTACGTACTATAATGAACCCAAAAAGAGAACACATAAAGATGGCGACTGTTATCACAGAAGTTCTCCAAGTCTTCTCCTATAATCCACGCCGGCTCTACGCGTCTCGTCTCCCGACGTGTAATCGAGTAGAGCCGGTCGCTGCCATGTCTGGCCGGGCCTGGTTAATATTGGACGAGAGAGCACACATTGGAGGCCTCCACCGCGTTAGCCTATAGCCAGACATTCTGATGAACTCCTCAATGACAAAAAAATGATGGATCGCGCTCAAAACAGATCAAGGAATACAACATGTAAACCTATACCGGACAGGTGTCAAACGATCCGAGAGAACGGTTCAAACCTCTGTATACAAATGGCACGGCAGAAGACGGGCATACGGTGTCTTCATTATTTTGCATTGCACATTTTGAAAACTAATACTCATTAATTGCTTTTGGACTTAAACTTTGCAAGCATGGTCGGTCTTTGTGACTGATTGTCTTGTTTTCTCAACAGTCCAACAGTTCCAGAGATAACTCAATTTTTAGAAATCAAATTTACAGATTTGTTTTCTGTGGAGAATCGAGCCTTTGACGAAGTGACTGGGTTTTGAGGGGAGAGTGTAAAAATGAATGAATATAATGTTAGTATATTATACAACAGTGAGTTCATGAACTTGGGTAATGTCGTTCTCCCATTGCCGTTAGATTATCACATAATATGACTTTAAATCCATGGTAAATGGGTTCCTCTCTGATCCAACGCTAAACTGTACTTACTCTTGATACAATATTTGTATATAGGCCTAACCTATTTCGTATATTCTATCATTTTGTGTATCAACTGTTTTGTATGAATTGAAATTAAAACAAACAAACTTACCGATCTCCCAGATTGTTAGTAAAAAAACCCAAAACGTTCGGCTCTGTTTTGCGAAACTATTTCATCTTCAATTTTCGTTTCAGCTGATGTGCTTCGAGCTTTTAAACAGTTGGTAAAAAATCTGTACTCAATATTTTTTGAAGTAAAACTTATACATGTAGCTCCATGCACATACAAAACCGCACATACCTAGTGTGGGCATTCCTTTGTCTTCATGTAGTTAAAGCCGGCCTCAGGTCGACCTTGCGACGACACTGATCAGTCGGCGACTGACTTTTCAGGATCAAGCTGTGCCTGAGCTACGACCGTCGGGAACATTTCAGTCGCCGATTTCTTGCGACCTGAGTATAACTGCGACGATATTAAGACGATCGGAATTAGTCGGCGCTCAACAAAATCAACAGTCGCATGAGTAGACACATTTCAACTTCTACGACGCGACGACGTCGCGATCGTGCGTGCGCGCATCAAGACATCTGTTTCAATTGTGTAGCCAATCAGAACACTACACCGGCGCTCCGCGTTCCGCGCAACATCACGCAGTACGCACCACGCGCGCGTCAATCACCATATAAGGAGATTGTTTTCTACTACTCGCGAGAGGCTATTCCATACCATAGCTAGAGGGGTGTTTAAAAAAACCAATGAAGTAAAACTGTTCAAAAAAATCGTTGGAAATGTATAATTTTTGACTTGTGTCGACTTTTTGACTCAAAAAGTATTTGTGAATGGGAATACAAACTACAACATGTACACTGTTTAAAGCTACAGTCCATCATTTGTAATTTGTGCATTTTGTTCGTTTGAAGCAACAAAAGAGTTCAAAATCTAATGAAGGATACTGAGCAACTAACCTGATGAAGTTTCAGCTCAGCTTCAGCTGTACATTCCGAGAAAAACAGCATTCTAAGATCTCAATTTCAAATCCAAAGTTACTGAATCATGTTTTGAATTGTTTTGAATTGCAGCTATACGCGACGTCGCGCACTGACCCGACGAATTATAACAACCGCGCGCGCGTGTGCGTCGTTCCAATACTAGTCTTGTGCGCGCTGCGCTGAATAACAAAACGAACTAATAATTTAAATTTTCCTACGGTGCTTCTTAAGAATCACCGTTGGAAATGCCTTCTTTCGTTGATTACTTCAAAATGACAGCTTCCCAGAAAGAATAATTTCACAGGGAGTTTAGTCCCCTTACTATCTTTCAACCAAGTTTGTTTTTCAACAATAATTACGCCAGTTACTTTTCGGATGGCTGCAAATGATGGACTATACCTTTAAGACCGTATCAGGGGAATGCGCGCTGATAATGGCTCGAGCCGAACCGACCAAGCGCATAATTATTCCCATTGTCAAAGAAGGCACATTACTGTCTATGCTGTGGAATCGTGGTGGATCGTTGCGTCTTGGGTGACATGAGCACGGTTGAGATTATTTTGCATCGGGATGCCGCTTGTTTCAAGAGAATCAAACGATTTCTCAGTTTTGTGACCCGAGTAATATTTTTCTGCTGGATGCCGACGGTTCCGTCGTGGCGCAAACAAATCGCAGGTCGACCTGAGGCCGGCTTAAGAAAACTTTATTATTTTACTTGCACTGTGAATCCTCTATCAACCAACTTTTTTTTTTTTTTATCAATGAGTGCTCCTCTTCATTTTGCGACACATAACCCTAACCCCAAAGTGTCTCTAAACATGTTTCAAGAGTAGGGAAACCTTGTGTGGACCTGGTTTAGTCCACAGAAAGTCCACACAGCCTGCATCGTGTGGACCTGCCTTGTTTTCAGGTTCACACAAACATGGTAAGGTTAATTGGCAGCCTACACACGACTCATGGGGGCGCTTTGAATATTTGGGGAAAAGCACTGATCTCCGTCATACTGACAGTATAATAGAGATCAGTGGGGAAAAGGCATAATAATACAGACCTACACAACTATTTCAATATATTTACCGAAATGGCACACGGACAGAAATCAACTAAAATGTTCAGAAAAAATATATATAAAAAACCCCAAAATGGCAGATGGAGTCTGTCGTACTCTCACACTCCTTTTTTAGCAAGAATCAGGTGGTAAATGAACTATAAAAATGTGTGTGTGTTTCAGGTTAGGGCCGCAGTAATTGTGTGAACTGGGTTTCCACCGAGAAGGAATGATAACTTGTGTGTCTTGGCGAGAGCGAGATTTAATTAGCAATGGACGATAATTCAATTGCGCACAGTGGGCTATTTAGGTCTGCCATCCAGGGTGCGTAGCGGAGGCAGGCTGGGCACTTGGCAGCGTGGTGACGGTACTGCACGGGACCGGGAAACCAGCAGTTGTCATGGTAAAAGATAAATTCGGACACAGAGCCAGAAATGTTTTTTTTCCTACGGAAAGTGACTCGACATCTGTTTCAAATGGAAATCGTAGCGACTGCGTTTTTTTGTGTGGGGTGTAATTACATTTTTCCATGTCAGTTTTAAAGAAAAGTACAGGCACTTACATACAGGCCCTTGTTTTGTGGTGTTGTGCGATATATACGTATACATGTAGGCCTACATCTAGCACAGACCCCATTAATGGTTGAGGCAAGACCACGATTCCGTTCAGGGATAACATATCGCTGTTCGGCGTGTGGCTTTCTAGTTCAAGTGAGAGGGTAGTTATGTAGGGGGGGAGGGGCACTCAGGTTTTCCTCTCCCAATTCTGAGTGGTGCCATGAGTACAGGCAAGGGGACAGGGGTGGGAAGCAACCCGTATCTTGAGATACGTAACTGCTTTGGAATCTTGAAATGGACTATCCCTGCTCGTCAATGATCACACAGTGCGCTCTGGCCAATTCGGTTAACGACTTTCAGTCCGGTACCCACGGTACGTAGCTCGATCATAACACTGTGAGAATTGTCAGGGTAATCAAAGGTGGTGGGTGGGGCTTATGGCCAAATCTGGAACAGAAAATTGTCAGTTGTTGAGGAGGGGTTTACCATTTTAGCATTGAACCGGGAATATCAAGGCTGTCCAGGCAAGTTGACTACAAATATATAATAGCTACAGTGGGTAAGGGAATTTAGAGACAGTACTAGTTTAATGAGTGTGAACCTGGTAGGATTGGGAATCAAGTGTACTGGTACCAAATTGACAGCTGACTCGGTCCCCATATCAAAACTATAAATTTGACTTGAGCGTAATATCTTCTTTTTTTGATATCAAGGGATGTTCCTATCAATTGATTTCAAGGGATCAGGGAAAGCTGAAGATATATTAGAATTTGTAATTATTTACAAGTTTTTATTTTCCATTCATAAAAAAGATTTGTATTTCATGTGTAAACTTTAACTTTCATAGATAGTTTTAAAGCATTTAGGGTAAATAAAAAAACAAATGTCCAACCAATTTTCAAATGGAATGTTGCTGCTTTGAGCTCTCTTCCTAACCAATTTTTATTGCATTTTCTTTATTTTAATGTGAGTGAACTTTTATATTAATGTCCGCTTTAAGTGTGCCGTCTAAGCAGATAGATGTAATCCAGAGGTAACTCGGGCACACAAATCAAAATTTCTTACTTATTTGTGAAAAAAACGCAAACCACCGGCAACAAACTTTTTTGCTGTTATGTTGTTAGCAATATTTGATAAAATTGGATCCTGGGCAAAATTTCATGGGGCTTTCAAAACAGAAATGATCACATTTATGAGCTAAATAAAAATCTACATCCACTTCATATCCATTGTGATTTGGAATTGGAGTAAAAACAAAAACGATCCGGTTCATTTTCCGCGAAGCATGTTCTCCATGTCCTTCTCAAGTTGCCGGATGACCGTGTAGTTCATGAAGACAAGCCTGCCGCTGGGCAGGAACTGGTGAACAATGATGGCCACTCGCTCCCCCTTCAGCTGCACCTCGACGGGCTGACTGACCGCCTGCACATGTTCCTGAAGGCTTTTCGCAAGCAGCTTGAGGGCGCTCTCTGCCAAAAGCCGATTCTCACTCCTCTCGCAGACCAAGGTCAGCCCCACGTTGGCCAGTCCCAGCCAGACCGCGATCTTCTCGCCTCGGAATGGGTTGCCCGCTGCCAGCCGGAAAAAGCCAATGTCCGCTTGGCTGGCATCGTCTGCAAGTCCTGTTACAGAGTACACCCCAGTGCTCTGCTCCACCTGGTCTTTGGACACCACCGACTTTCGGAACGCATACTCGGACTGGACCTGTCGAGCCACCAGAGCGAGCTGTTCTTTCTTGAAAGTCCTGGTGTCTATCTCCAAGTTCAACTGACCGCTGGTTGTTGGTGGCTCACTGGGGTCATCCAGCCTGTCTTCAGTGCCAAATGTACATGCGTAAAGCACACGACAGACACTGGCTTCCACTGACGGACTCAGAGAGTGGATAATGCATGCATACACCATTGTGAATGAGTTTATGACGATCGTTCAGCACCAGTGGCGACTTGGTTGAGGGGAGTCCTGTATCAAATGTTCAGTTTGCTAATCATGGTTGCGAAGTTGTGACTGCCGCTTCTCCGATTTTAATGTTAGTTACAAAATACATAAAGTAAAGGCATGAATAACAAGGTACACATCGGATGCCACTGTCACTGTCATATGTCACCGAGGGAGTTCATGTATGGCGTTCCCGTGTGACACTCTCGCAAGTTTATATGGTCAACTTCAAATTCTACTGAAGGAAATACACAAAAGCAAGAGAGATCATCCACTCAAACAACGTGTCGTTGTTAAGGGCACTGATATGGAAATCACGAGTACAGCAGCAGAATTTCAATCAACACGACGATCGTTTGGGTCCAGAGATCAACACGGACCGATTCTTTTCCGCATTTACACACTTTTAACTCTTGAGGGCGCACTGTCCATTTGTTAAGATGTCAGCGCCCTGTGCGAAACTTCTCGGGAAAGAATCCGGGTATGGAAAATCGTTGAAAAAATTGTCCTTGATTAGTGATTGATACTTCTAAAAGTAGTTTTTGGCATTCAGTGTCTCTAGAAAAGCACATGTTTCGTAGGATCGCAAATAAGAATTTAGGATCGCAATTTATCCGTCCAGTTGCATCATTCATATTCGTACAGACACACTACAGTCACTACACACGTAAACACGTGTATTCCGCCCCCGCCCCCAAGATCTCAGCCATTGAATGACGAAAAATTTTGAAACTCGGTACATGTATAGAGCATCTCATCATGAACATACCCAAGAAATTTCGTGACTATAGGTCAAAGGGTTTTGGAATTATGGCTAATTAATAATTCATATGTTCGAATGGTATTTCTGCTCTGTCTGTGTACGCGACGTATATAAAAAAATTTGCTGCGCGGCAACCCGTGATCCGATTTTTATGTTTTTGGTATCAAAAGATGCGCAAGGCTCGAGGCTAAAAAGTCATAACAGCTCGGGTTGCAAAATTTTTATTTTCAAAGCTATCGCGGAAAAAGTTGAGGCCCCCCCCCCCCCCGGCCCTAGTTTTAGGGTTAAGAGCACTGGACTCATGCTCTGGTGTTTCAGAGGCAAAAGTGGCATAGGTTCGAGCCCGCCGGGTGGACACTTGTGCCTAAGGCACTTAACCATTATTGCTTCGTCCTTCGGATGGGACGTAAAGCTGTAGGTCCCGCGTGTTGTGTAATGCAATGCACGGAAAAAGAACCCAGTGACACTTATCGCTAAGAAAATGGGTTTGCCCCAGTGTTTCTGGCCTCCTGTATAAACTCCCACGCGGGGCATTTACAAGAAGAAACAACCAAGAACCAAGATAAAAGCAAATTTTCTCATAACCAGATTTTTTTTCAGAGAAAACTTGTAGGCCCTCCAAAAAAACGTACAAGGGTTCAGCTTGGGATCAACCAACTAACCAAGAACACTACATACTGAAGAGTTTTAATTTATTAATTTGACTATTTTCTTTTCTTTTATTTAAATTTTCTTCGCTCAGGCTCTGGATGGATTTCTTCTGGTGGTCACCTCCGATGGGACCATTCTCTACTCCACAGAGAACATCTCCAGCCACCTGGGCTTCCACCAGGTGGACCTGGTGCATCGCTGCCTATACGGCATCATCCATCCGGACGACCACCCTGAACTCAAGGCGGTGCTGGAACAGACACTTGCGTCTCCTGGCTGCCAGTCACGTGTGCAGGTCAGGCCTCAAGGACCTTTCGTTATAGGCCTACTATCAAAATTTGGCGATCTTGTAGTGTAGGGCCCTGTTCCTAGTATAAGAGAACAAAATCCACTTTTAATTTATTTGACTTGCCGGACTAGTTGGCGGCAGTAAGTACAAACAGGTATATCAGAGATAGAGGGCAGTGTTTTAAATTTTTGAGGGAAATTTGGGGGTAAAATGACAATGAGGACGACAAAACGCAACCTGAAAATTAAGGTGGCGATCACCACGATGTACCGTGAGTGCGCAATACCGCGATGAATTGCACAGCACCAACCGTAAATCGTGTATGAAAAATGTAATTTCCACCCCATGAAACTGTTCAAAATTACAAAAAAAAGGTCATTAGAATTGAGGGGAATCTGCTTTAGGTTGAAAAGGTCATTTTGAATGATAAAAAAACACCCTTCATTCTAATTTGATCAAAACGAAAGAGGGGCCCTACACTACACGATCGCCCAAAAATTTCCATGTTGGACCCTGGTCGAACACAGACTGGGACCTTGGGTACAGAAAAAAATATGTAAAACTAAATCAGGCCAATTTACTCACTCTTAATAGCTGACAACATTCTCCAAAATTTGCTTGAGGGAAAGACAAGGTCCTCAGTATTGCACCAGCCAAGTTTAAGGTTTCAATTCATTCATTTTAAGTTTTGGGACTCTCATACACAGTACGCATGAAATATGAATGCCAAATGATTCTCTAGAGTTCTGCCTCATTTCAAACTATCGATGCATTTTTACAGATGGAGACAGCCTATGGTGTCAGGTGTGGGATAGAAGAGCCGGGTACCAGTGACACAGGTAAAGTGTCATTCCTATGCAGGATGAAGTGCTTCAATGGAACCAGCACAGGGTTCGTGGTAAGTTGGGATATGGATAGGGATATAGATGTTGTCATTTAAAAAAAAAAAATTGTGTAATTTTTTTTTAAGTCCTACGATTTGACCTTGGTGATATGTATGTGGCCTATTTTCGAGTAGTATAGAGGTGAAAGGTGCCACCAGTGTCAAAATAGTGTTTGGGCAACATTTTGTGAAAAAAATTTGAAGTTCTAAAAATTTGAAAAAAAAACAATTGTGAGTCCCCCAAAGCCAAATCCTGGTTGCGCCACTGGTTATATCAGCTGCATTTCATTTGAGCAAAGCATACAGGCAGTGGTGGATCCAGGGGGGTGCAGAGGGGGCGCCCGCCCCCGGCGGTGACCAAAATGTTCTCAAATAAGGCCATTTTTCACTTGAAAGAGCCTGCCCTCCCCCCCCCCCCCCCCCCCGCATTAAAACATTATTAAAGAATATTTATAACAAAAATATTCAAATAATAAAGAGTTCATTGAAAAACTCAAGTCAGTGACGGTAAGAAAGTACACACTAGCACGTCGTCTACAACGTCATTCCCCCCCCCCCCATTACTGCTTGTGGTACATTCTAAACATTTGTTTCTTCCATCAGAAGATGCACTGCTGCGGGACGATGCATTCTTTCCCGGGGGCGGTCAAGTCCGGCCGCACCTCCTGCCAGGTTCTCTTCCTGGCCTTCAGGCCCATCACCTCGCTGGCCCAGGACACGGATATTGAGTTCAAGCAGAACGTCTTCTGGAGCAAGCACGAGATGGACCTCACCTTCAAGTTGCTGGACACCAGGTACGTTTCCCAGGGCTCAGTTTTGCAGCTGTGCTTACCACGGAATTCTGGGCTTATGATTTCTGTTCTCTGTTAAAGTTTTACATGTAGAATGACAGCACTATGTGATAACCCTTGCTGAGCCATAAGATATGCTAACTGCCTAGCACAGAATATTTTTGCATGTAGCTCCAGTAATTGGGCCTGAGAATACAAAGCATAACTTATTTCTCCTCATATATTGAGCATATGGGCACATCCAGCCTTATGTAATTCTGTTACAGCGCTTTGAAGAGTTCAGTGAATAAACCTGAAAATGTATTTTAAAAAAAATATATACATCTGTCAAGTAATGGTCAAGGAGATTACAGACTAGGAGTTTTGGATCATTCTCTGAATCATTAATTAGATATAATGGTTAATTGGCTCTGTCAAGGACAATACACTTGCCTTTCATAATCGTGGAATCGCCCATACATGTCATTGATAATCCTTACAACTTACTTTAACTGGATAAACCCCTCAGAATACCCCCCCAACCCCACCCGAAGGAGGTACATATAAGAATTCTGCAATCTGAAGTAACCCGTTTTCAAAATTTGTGTCGCACATTCACATATCCACAGCAACCCAACAAAAGTCCTGTACCCTTAATTTTTGAACAAAACAATGCTACAGCTCACTTAAAAAGATATTTCAAAAGTATCATTGAGGATCATGCTTGAAGTCCGATTTTTCTCTTTTGGTGTGCAAGACCCTTGTTTTTGAAACAGGTTTTTTTTAAGGAATAACTAAAATCAAGAATTTAATTTTAGCACTACTGTCGGAATTTTACTCAGTAGCTTCACTGATGAGATGACTTGAATGCCATCAGAGATACTTGATTGATTTCTATTTTTTTTGCTTGAGGGGATCACCCTCCACACGAACCCATCATCTGTGACACGCTAAATTACCTCTCATTGTGTGCACATCAGCTGTGAGATATTTCCTTCTTTTCATTGTCCGATGGTATTAAAATCTCCTTTCCAAGTTTGTGGTTCCCCATTTTTCATTTGGCTTTCAATTCAAAGACCGCTTGCACAACAAAAGCGGATGCACTGAGTCCAATTACCACATGGAATTTCCGTGAATGGGCCTTTTTTTTGGCTCAGGGATCTTTGTACATGTATGCCACCCCAACGACAAACTTCTTTGCTCTCTAAAAGCCTCCCAATCATTTCTTATATATGACTCTCCACTTGTATTTTTTTTTTTCAATGTATTGGAAAAGAAAAAAAAAGAATTACAGCTAAGGGACTTGACCCCCATAAGATAAGTAGACAATGCATCTGATTGGTGCATTCAGCCAAGAGGCCCCCTGGGCTGTTCAAAATATTTTGTAAACTAGAGATTCAGTGGTGCCTTCATTGATATATCTCTGTGCAGCACTTGATATGAAGCCATTTGATATGAAGGAATTTTTCTTAACAAATGGGATGCTAACATCCATAATGCTGTATCTGTAGTACCAGAGTCAGGTTCCGAGGTTAAAAATATATTGTGTATTAATTACTTTGCTATAGCATCAGCTGGTAGTCTGGGAACCAAACTAGCAAGGCACTTCGAATTTGATTTGTGTTTTTGCAGGGCATGTGACGTGTTGGGTTTTGACCCGAGTGAGCTGGAAGGCAGGTCACTGTACGACATGATCCATCCGCAAGACCTTGCAGCTATGTACACTTGCCATAAGACCTGTAAGTGAGTTGTTTATGTACTCTCCGTCAGTGATAAGTCACTTTCCCATAGAAATGTGTTCAAGTCCTCACAAATCTCAACAAGTCCTCAGATGTCAATCACAAGTCAATCTGAATTCAATCACAAGTCCTCAGAGGTCAATCACAACTCCTCAGATGTCAATAACAAGTCAATCACAACTCCTCAGATGTCAGTCACAAGTCAATCACAAGTCCTCAGATGTCAGTCACAAGTAAATCACAAGTAAATCACAAGTCCTCAGATGTCAATCACAAGTCAATCACAAGTCCTCAGATGTCAATCACAAGTCAATCACAAGTCCTCAGCTATCATATGGATTACCCCGTAATGCCAATGAATGGTCTGAATCCGGCCCATTGCGTAGACTGGTGCACGAAAAGACTTCCAGTGAATAGTCATTCTGAATCAACTGAAAGATTTCTGTGTACTCTGGGTTCAGCTTTACGATGCTCGTCTGGTCTCGTTTCAATTACTATTTCTCTGTCTGTATTTGTGAGCAGTGGTTGACACGGAGGAGGTCCACACGCTGTATTTCCGGCTGATGACCAAGGACTCCTCCTGGGTGTGGCTTCACACAAGGGCAAAGGTCATCGTCAAGAATTCCCGCAAGCACTCCATAGTGCTGACCCATTGCCCTGTCAGGTAAGGCCATGATCTCTAACAAAGAAATGGATAATAAAAATAATAATAATAAAAATAAATTGGGAGGCTTATCATCCTTACTGGCAGCTGAGAAACTGAATTGTGAAGGACGTGGCTACAACGGGTCGGGCCGCTGGCACGTAAAGGCGCCTTTGGCAGCAGCCATACGACCTATATATGACCACGGAGCTCAGCCACAGATCGAGAGTGTTAAGATTTTTCCGGAGGGAAGAAAACCGGGGGCCCGGAGAAAAATCCTCGTGGCACAGGAGAGAACCAACGCACAACTCTACTCACATAAGGCATGTATTATGGTCAGTGGACGGGAATCGAACCAGGGCCACAGTGGTGAGAGGCGAGCGCTTTACGTACAAGCCACCCATGCCACCCTTGATTGGAGAAGGATTGGAACCTTCAACCTTCCGAACGCCGTACTGGTGCTCTACCAACTGATTATTCAGGTCTTAGTTGTCATGGTTTCCAAACAGTGCCAACACAGCATTCTAGCTGTGACTGGTTTGAATCATGCTTCAGTCTTTTTTATTTATTCAACTCTACATTGATTACAAGTGAACCAAGCATAAAGTTTCCCCTTCTGTCACTGTGACTTCTTCCTTTCATTTTCTATTCTCTCTAATTTGCAGCCCACACCTTTGAGTGGCCTCATGCAGCCTTGTGTCTGGGCAAAAAAATGTGATCGATAATCTGTGATAATAAGACACACTCTACACCAAGCCCGAGGGTTTTGAGCCCTTATGGTTGCTGCACTGACTCTGCCAACTACAGAAATAGTGGAGCCCATACATTTAGATTGATAAACAAGTTTAAGATTTCCTCTTATTTCCTTCTAGGGAAATGGACAGCTCCTACCTACATCATGAGGCAAAGGCCAGGGCCAGGTATGGCCTAGACGAATACCTCAAGATGAAACACATGAACCACTCAGGAACCGATGGGGAGACATCGTCGTCGACACCATCTACCACACCGCAACCAGACTGCAACCAGACCAAGCGACGCTGGACCAGCAACGACACGTACGTGGTGGCGAGCCAGAGCCCTTACAAACTGAAAGACGATTACTCGGCATCACTGCACAGCCCCCACGGGGCCTGCCCGTCCAGCTACCACCAGTCCTCGGACCGGCACTCCCCCGTGTACCCATCCACGTACGCTCCTCATCGCTACCAGAAGGCAGCCCAGGGGGTGCAGAGTCCCCCGGAGAAGGCCTCCAACGAACGGGAACCTCCCCCCATGAATGTGAACTTCTACGATTACGCCCACGCGTCGGAGGATTTCATCCAGGGGCCGCCGTTGTATCCGAGCCACCCCCAGCCCCATCCGGCGCTGTCCATGTACCAGATGGTGGCGCACTTGCCTCCCGAGATGTACGATGCGGACTCGTACCGCAAGCACGCCCTCATGTTCATGGAGAGCCACCCCCATTTGGCTGGCCCCGGCATGATGTCAAGTTATCACCACCATCACATGGCCCAGTATCAGCTCCCGCTAACCCCACAGACATCACCCCAGTCCTTCTACCCTCAGGGGCACTTCCCCACGCACTACCCAGAGCACGTACCTACAGTGCACCCAGCAGGGTCCGAGACACTCTCCCCTCCCCCGTCACCGAACCGAAATTTCAAGCCTGCCTGCATGTACTCATCGGTTGGATCGGGGGACGGATGTGACAAAGGTCCCGAGCCAATATTCTCGGCGGACTGTTGCAAGGCGGAACATTACACCTCTTTATTCGTAAATGGTGCCGTCCAAGTCAAGCTACTTGACGGTGCAACGTACCCGCGCACTCAGTACACCAACGGCTACAGCCACGAATATCCCCACGGCGACCAGTATTCATCAGATAGCAGCTGTTTGTATGGCAACCACTACGAGACGGACATTGAGCTGAAACCGTTCCAGAGGATGGGAGCTCTGCCTCATGACAAATTGGACGCTTCCACCTGCAATCTTGTATCCTACACCGACGCGCCAGTCGACAGCAGTGTACCCATTCACGGTTACCATAGCAACCGGGTGGCACATGACAGGGAGAGATGCTTACCGTGCCCGATGGCCAATACCAGGAACGGTTGCCTAGCGCCCAAGTTACCTCCGGTGAATGATGTCAGAATCCTGAGCCCCGCCTCCTCTTTACCCCCCATCGGAAGTTTCCTCGATTTTCTGAATGAGGACGGTGGAATGGCTCCGGTGGAAGAAAGTTGCTGATTTGCATAAATGTATTGAAAACTCTTTGTATGGCTCAGCATAACACTCAGTAAACAACTTTTCTTTTATCACCAATTTTTTTTTTCTCAAGTAAAAGTGTTTGTTTTAAGTAAGTACATCCTAAAAATAAAGATTTTGCACTGGATTTTTCTTTTTCTATTTTTTTCTTGTTCAGATGATGGTGATGCCGCAAATTATGCTTGTTTGTAAAAATGTCAAAAAAATTTGTTGTTTTTTTCAACACACGTGATGTAGCCTTTTATTGCATTGGTTGACTCAGATGCTTTCTACTGCTGAATGTTTTATTGATTTCTTGTGCTACTTTTCGGGTGAGATATTGTATAAGTTTGTTTTCTCCTCAGGTGTAAGTTTTTAAGAAGGTATATCTGGTGATCGGTCGTGAGACATACATCTAATGACGTCTTTCTTTGTTTGAGACATGGGCGCTTTCTTATTTGGGCCAAAAGGGGAAGAGAGCAATGATCCTCTATATAAAGACTGGATAGCGTACAGAGAATCGCAGAAGGAAGCCATTTGAAGCCATATTGGAAAGACCGGTTGGTGATCTATAAAGGACAAGTTGCTGTCTGTATGGGTAGTAGGGATTCACTTTTGTAACATCGTGGTTTACCTTTTGCCCACCACTGACCACGGTCCACAGTTTTCAAACGTCAAAGTTCACTTTTTGAATGCCGCAGTTCACTTTTTGTGACGTTTGGAAAATAATCACAACGGAAACTCGTCCTTTTCAGAACCCCACGCCGTAATGGCTTCACGCTTAGCACTCGCCGGAGTTTGCACTTCATGCATAAAATGTGTAGGTTTTTTTTTGTCACAGACCAATCACATCCCTGAGAACATCATAATATGTGTACCTACCTAAGATGTGCGTCAAATCTTGATTCAGCGCACGCTGTGTGTACGCGTAGAACGTTTGCATATCGGTGGCCAGTTTTGAAAGAAGGGGGCGAACTGGTCCAGAAGCGAAAAACGAGTATACGTATGACATATTGTCATACGCTATCTTGTCTTTATATAGAGATCAGTGGAGAGAGCCACCAATTTCTTATATGAAAGCACACTCTGCGTACATGTAAACAAAGCATGACGTCAAGTTTATTCTAATTGGAACAATATAACTTAAAGTTGTAGATCTACATCCTTTTCGTTTGTAAGAAAGTATATTGATGCCTCCGGTCTGCAAGGCCAATACTTTGCACTTGTACTCACAATTTTCTCAGTGAAAATTGGAAATTCACAGAAATTATGTGTCAACACATGAAAAAAAAGGTGAAATGTTTTTAAACAGTCATAATAATAATAAAGGATGGTCACAAATCGAAATTACAAATGTACACCTGTTTGAAAATTGAAATGAAAAGAAAGTCACTGACAGTTTTTGTGCTATCATCAACTCATTTTTCTCACTGCTTCACATTAAAGGTTTTTTGGGGGGTTCAATTTGTATTTTTTAGCAGCACTGTACAAAATATATATTGATTGATAGTTATTTATATGTATATACATCTGTATGTATTAAAGTTTAGTTTGAAGAGTGCCAAAGATAACATGCATGTGGTTTGCACACAAAGGCCATTTTCACTTTCATTGATTTCTCGATCTCGCATTGTTTCATGGGAAATGTATGAAATGAATATTAAATAGCTCAAGCAGTAAGTGGTGGCAACAGAAAATTTCGGAAAGGAAATAGGTAAAACAAAATCATGAATTTCAGACTTATTCAACAATTGTGCAAATGGCCTTGTAGGTGCATATTATTGTTGGAATCAGATTTATAAAAAGTTAAAAAGTACAATACTTAAACAATAGGCATATTTCATATTGAAATGAAAGTGAAAATTAATGTGAAATTTATTACTATCATAATGCAAACAAGAAGTTAGTGAACAAAGATAGACTTTTTTAAGATACAATTTGTGGTATTGAATTTCCTTGGGAAAGTTTCCGGTTAAATCCGGTACATTTGATGCTGTTTATAGGTGGTGGTTATTTGGGGTGTATGGGTCGAGGGGGCTGCAGCTGATAACCGGCCAATGAAGTTTTGCTTTAAGGTCATCGTCATGTTATTATGTTTTTGGTTTGGACTTTTGCAATGTGGGTTTCTTCAACTAGCGTACTGATTTTCTTGTGAGACTGTAATCAGTGATTTGAATGCAGAATCTTGGGTGTTTTTATGAAGAAGGGAGATGTGAAACTATACCCTGCAGTTTTCCTTTTTGTTTTTGCTTTCACCTTTTATCTTTCAAAATAGACAATTGAAACCTAACGTACTATCTGTCATATGTGCAATGTACCACGTAGACCGTTTCATGAATACTGCCATCTTAGTGATCACGCGTTAATCTTTGGGGGCATTGTTATAGACCTTTCTTTTGTTTTTAAACATTGAGCGCCATTTTGTATGGGCTGCCACAAGGACATAAATTTCAGCCGTGGTTGGCAACAGATTTTGCCAAAAATTGCATATTAACACCCTCATTATGTACGATAAAGGCATTTTATTAAATCTTTGGTAGCGTTTGTTGGTTGTTTTGGTTGTTTGTATTTCTGACAATCCAATAAAGTTTGGAAACATTAACTTTTCTGTATTTTTGAAAACATTGACCTCGCATGGTTAGCCAACCCGTGGTTGGCAGGAAGTGCCAACCATAGAAAAGGTCTATTGAAAATACTTCCCATCATTCCTTTGTACCCTGTGCATGATGGGACTTTTTTCAAAGAAATGTCCCAAAAGATTACCACGTGATCACAAAGATTGGGGTATCCGTGAAACGCTCTGTGCAGTGGGCCGATTTATTTTTTAAGCAATTTTTTTCCTGCACCGAGTACTCTCTATAGTAATCACGTCACTTTATATGAAACAAAAAGTAAACAGAAACGGTTCCATCATGAGCAACAGTTGTCGTTTCCTGTGTGACTTTCTTTCTGTTGTGGCTTTCTGTTCGTAACTTGCATGCAAATTGACCAGAGTAATTGAACAGTAGAAACCTTTTCAGCCAAAACACAGACAACTGTATGCGTAATGAAGTGGGGGTTTACTTTCCATACAGATGTGTACAGAAATACAGCAAACGATGCTTGATGAGCTCTATGGGAAAAAACATCAACTTTAAATACCACTTTCCCAGTGACATCGTCAAAAATGGGTTCAAGACTGGAACATTTTCTAGGATGGGGCAGAGTCAGTTGAAGATCTCCTCTTTCCCACCAAAAAAGAAAACAAAAGACAAGAAAAAATAGACAAGTATCCACATCAAGCCGAAATTGCTTCAATTTTACTTTTTAAAATTTATTGGGCATTAGGCACAAAAGTGTTCACCTGTACCAACGCAATCACGCATATAATGTTAAGAATATATACTGGCGAATTTCCAAACATTGGTTGTGCTTTTAATTGGAATATTTCAAAATTTTAAAAACATACTTTCTTGCATAGCTGGCATCAACTGGCCAGCCAAAAACGTGCTTCGGCAGTTTCTGGGTAGATACCTCATATTATACTTGTATGCGCATGTACATGTAGCTTCACACTTATACACATTGAAAAAAAGATTAAGCATTTCTGTTAAAACAAAATTGTTATTCAAATTTATAAAAGTATAATATCCAAACAAGTTGGTGTAACACACACAAGAATGATTATTCAAAATGTACATGCATACATGTGTATGTGGTGTTGTTTTTTCTCGTATAAAAATAAACTTAGCTTCTAGAATGCATCAAATTATACAAAAAGTAAAAACACTTTGTCAACAAATTTTCATCTTGAAAAATTTTCAATTATTAATTGGAATGCAGGTTTAAAGGTTAGTGCCAGAAGGCAGCTGAGTCCATCGAAAGTCAATCACAAGTCAAATCATAAGAATATCACAAGTCATCATAAGTCAAATCATAAGAATATCACAAGTCAATCATAAGTCAAATCATAAGAATATCACAAGTCGATCACATGAACATCACAAGTTAATCACAAATATCAGGCTAGACATTGACAAAGAAATGACAAAGCAACGCCTTCAGTTTGTCACAGTTGAATTGACCAATCCTGTGGCAGCCATTTTCTGAGGTGGCACCAGGCTCGCGTAAGTCGTACTCGCGGTAGTGCGCACACTCTCTGGGCTCCTTCGACCAATAAGAATACCGAAATGCGCGTGCGCCTCGTCTTTAAGAACGCTTGCAGTATGCACGTGAGCGTGACACCACCGCAAGAAAAGCTTCTAATTCTGGTCGCTCCACTATAAGGCTGAGGCTGAAGGAAGTTGTGACGGACTTGTGGGGACCTGTGACGACCGGACTGAAGCACAGGAAACTGAGGTTCACCACAATTCTTTTTAAAAACGAAAGTCATATCCTCTCTGTACAGATATACTTTGAGCACCTTGTGCATGCACAATAAAACGATCACTGAATAAAAACTACGCGATAAAACGATGCTTGGAGGACCAACATTTGGCACTGTATATAAACAAAGTAGTTGGAATTACATGATTGGTCACTCGACAGCAAGTGAGATGTTGTAACTTACATACATCAGTGCATAAAACCATAATTGCTTAGAATATCCTAAGGAGGGTACAAAAGGAAATATAAGAATGTCGTAAACATGTACAAAAATATACAACGTATATTGCATTTATATTGGTGCATGTGTATTCCCTTTTTAAGGCATACCCTGTGCGCTTAAATGGATTTTTTTCTCCTAACAATTTTTTTCAATTTGAATGTTTTGTTTTAACACAAAAAACTACTTCAATTTGATTTTTAATTGGAAAACAATTGATCCCACCCTTCATTAGCAGACTTAACCTCATGCCGCAAAAGATCAAAATTTTGTATCAAAATAATTCAATAACTGAACGTCGATGAATTTTTTTGTCCGTTCGATGCCTCATTCAAAAGTGATGGATTTCAAAATTTCTAAGAAAATAGCTTTAAAAAAACCCCAAATATTGTTTTGGGTGAAACTAAAAATAGCGAGGGAATTCAACTCTAAAGCAAAAGGCACAATTTGGTGTGAAGTGCGTACATGTCACAAATACAGAAGTGTTGGCTAAACCAAACATTAGTTGCTTCAGGAACCACTTCCACGTACAATTTCTAAAGGTTATGTCCATATGCCTTGCACTGTTTCCTGGTTATTAGCAACAGCTTGTCAAAATAATAAGTCATTTTTGTACACCTTTTCGAAGCTTTTCAGATGAAAAAGGGAGTTCTGCTTTGCAAGGCTCCATCCCTTCATTCAATTGTTCATTTGCCACCAGCAAAACAACACTATCACGATTTCAAGTGAT